ATTGTTTCTTCCCATAAAAATAATCTTCTATATGCATTCTCCAATAACCAAAATTTGTGTCATCAAATTTCTCGATCTCTGAAACTTTCAATTAATATGCAGCCATTATTCTTCCTCAGATCCGAAACACCACTCCGATACCAGTTGTTGTGACGAGATCTAGATATATCACACTATGTGGTATATATATAAATCAAACAGGAGAATGATCAACGAAGCGAAAAAAATAGAATGAGAAAATTCACATAAGAAAACAGTAACACAGCGGAACACCCAGATTTACATGGTTCGGCAAATTGCCTACGTCCACGGAGTACGTCCACGGAGTTATCCACGGAGTTACATAGGATTTTACTACTTGAGGAATTTACACCAGTCGATGACCTCGACTTACGAGAAGAATCTTTCACTCTGACTTTGTTGCTCTTTCTTCTTCTTTCTATGTTCTTTTCTCAGTACACCGAGATACATTGAAGAAGATAAACTTACAAGAAAAATAAACTCAATTTCTCTTCAGTCACAAGTCACCAAGAAGAAGCCAAGGGAGAACAATCCTCTTCTTCTTTCTTCTTCCTTCACCGCAAAGAACTACTTCTTGCATCTTCCTTCCTCTATCCCGAGGAAAACCCAAAAAGAACAACCTGACTTCTCTTATTGCGAGAGTGGAGGCGGGGTTGGGTACGTTTTGCGAAATGAAGGCGGGAGCGGCGGTTTTCACGAAACCGCAGGGTCGTGGTCGCGATCTTTCGCGATCGGGCGCGAGAACGGGAAGCGGGAGCGGGATCGAGAAAAATCAGGCTCCAGCGCTAACAAAATGCATATAATGACCTCTGAATTAAATGATCTGGCTCTAAAATAGATTTGGTGGCACGGAGTTTCAACCAAATAATAAAAAAATGATTTCATGTATGATAATCCCATTACATTTAATTTTAAACGCATATCATTTTAAACTCTTCTAAATTTTAAGAACTTGCAAACACGCGGCCTTTTAAAAATGCTGGCATGTGATTATTTAATAAATATTTTTTACATCACATTAAGAAATATACGCTGAAACCAAAGTTTATTTTAAGAGATAATGTTGTTTTTATTCATGTATAAATGTCAAAATATATTTAATTTTAATTTTTTTTTAAAAAATGTCCAAAATTCTTACAGTAACATGTTCCCATGAAGATAAAATACAAAATTTTGTAACTAAAAAAAATTAAAAATCACAATCGGAAAAAAAATATTGTAACGGTAGTTCTGATACACTTTTGTATCAGAACTTCAATCAGAACCCACCACATATACAGACAGATCCGCTCATATATTAAATTATTTTTATTATTAAGATGAGTTTATCTGTACTTGTGACAGGTTCTAATTAAAATGCTGATACAAAATTACATAAAAACTCCAAATATAATGTTTTTTCTGACTCTCTTCTCCTCCCTCACAGAACTAAAAAAATAGAACATAAAAAATAAAAATAATAAAGGACAGAGGAATGCGTTAAAATCTGACGAGAAATTCTTATAGGTAATAAAAAATTCATAATTTTCACGATAAGACATTTTGGCAGAAAATATTGTATTCTAAGTTTTTTATCATTCAAAAAATATTTCTTGTGGAAAAAAAAATAAAATAAAGCTATAAGAACTTTTCAGCATTTATTAAAAATATATTTAGGTAATTAGTACAAATTTATAAAAAATCTAACTTATTGTTGTAAATTTTGCAAATGAAACTTTATTCTATTTTTTTATTAATAAATCATTAATTAAGAAAATTAAACATTTCCAAGCAGTCTAATTAAAATTATTTGACAAAAGTTGAGATAAGAATTTTTGCTCGGTGGATTTAGTCTGTCAAATTTGATTATTGTAATTGAGATAGTTCAGCCTAATTCTAATCATCATGTATTATTCCATGTAATGGGTTCCGCTGGATCCTGAATCTCTTTCGAAATACACATCTTGAGAGTTAGAGCCAAGAGAGAAAGACAAAGTGACAGAAGAAAGTGTTAGAAATTTCTAAGAGAAGAGGCCACAAAAAACACCTCCAACCCCGTCCCTTTATTCGTCTTTTCACAGAAAGATGGTAATTGTACTTAATTCAATCAATGTACTGATTTAATACTAAATTTATATTATAATTTGAATTCGGATATAACAATAATCCGCCGTCCGACGTGTTCGAGTTCTGTTCTACGATATTTTCCGACGCAAATTAAATGATAATTTGATAATAATATTCATTGCCTGATATTTTTAAACGCAAACTTCGACACACATTTTGTATAATCAAATTTGACACAATGTTAACTCAAAAACCGATACAATTTATTTGCATTTGAATTGTTTGAGGTAAATTGAATGTAAATAACATTACTGACCCCCAAATTAACGTCAGAAAACTCAAACGTGAATTGAACGCAAATCTGAATCCGATGATAACTCTTAAATATCATCGGATTGAGTCCAATTTATGTCCGACATGTCCGACATAAATAATTCCTGTAGTGATTGCTGCAGTTTACTATAGAGGCTGAGATGTTGATTTCCTGAGCAGAAGTTTGTAATTTCGTTTATCAGGTGCTCGTATATAAAATGGTCAATTATTTCTTAAACTTTAATTATTATTTGATATTCAAAGATTATATTATTGTTTATTTAATTATTATTTGATTTATAAATAAAATTAGATGCTAGAAATGAACCGTAGAAAAAAAGAAAGAAGCAAAAATAGTATCGCTTATTACCTTGCAGTAGTGAACAGCTCGATCGACAACTTGCCAAGCCTTGCTTGGTTCTGGATCGCACCAATCGATAGCTTGCCCCGCCAGGATGATGCCTTCCCTGTTTTGGGATCGCAATGATCGAATGATTGGCCCCGAAATCATCTATTTAAATTGGGGGTGTAAACGAGCCAAACACGAGCGAGCCCAGGTTCAATTCGTGTTCGGCTCGTTTATATTTGAAGCTCAAAAAGTGTGTTCGTGTTCGGCTTGTTTGCTTAGTGAGCCGAACAATAGTTGCTCACGAACAAAGGGTCGTTTTGACAGCCCTAATCACGTAGCCATAAGATGTTAAGGGTTGGGGCAAGATTTAAAAAATTGTTATTTATATTAAAACATTATTTGAATGTAATTTTATAATTTTTATTCTATTTTTTTATTAATACTTTTAATTGATTATAAATCTTTATCGTTTTGTAGTCGATTAAATTTTTTGAAAATACTACTCATGTGTATATATATAATTGATGAGTAGTATTTCGAGCCAAAACAGGCAGAACATGAATGAACAATTTTTTTTTTCATTTTTGGTTTGTTAACTTAAGAAAAGAGCCCAACACGAGCTTCTTAACGAGCTAATACAAAGAGCCTTTTTGACCGCCCTAATTTAAATAAAGGGGATTAAAAAAAACTAATATAAATTATAACTTAAAAATAATATAATTTAAAAAGAATATTATTAAGATTTTTTTTAAAAAAATAAAATACATGCATACCACTCTGTTCATAGTTTACATTTCTAACACCCAAATTTCAATTTTAATATTTATCATTTGATCTATGCAAGAAAATGTGTATTTCAATTTTTAAAAAATAAAAAAAAAAGTGATGAATAATTTGGGTGGTATAAATGTTTAAAACCCAGTTTAGGTGCTTGATCTATAAATAAGTAGACATTGGGTGGTATGCATATAAATGCCAGTAAACTAGCGCTTTTGTCCCAATGTTGTTGTATAAATTAATAGAGATAGATGTATGCATCAGTGGAAGCTTCTTATATCAAAAGGGTGTTGTTAAATCTAACATTAACCGTCAATTTAAAAATAATGTTTGATTTTTATTATATTTGTTAGTGTTAAAGTTAATTAAGATATTTTCTGTTTTTTAAATAACAAATGAGAGAAGAAAAAAAGTACGCCCAGAGACCGATCCATAGAGACTCTCTTACTCCAATCAAAAACATTTCCTCTAAAATTCTCTTTTTTTTTTTCTTTTCCATAGAGAAGAAAAATCAATAACTCAATCTCTAACAACATGTCCACACCTTCCTTCAAAATAAAGAATCCCTTCAAGGTTATATGAACTAGCTCAGACTCTGGAATCATGCTTCCTAATACAAGGAACAAGATTCATGATAAAGAATTAATTCTATACAATTAAGGCATAATCATATATATATAAAGCTCCGAGCAAGTTCATGCAATGATGGGTGGAAAACTCATTCATCTCAGCAATTACAATTGGTTGGATCATAAATTTTATGATGAATAGAGTAATTATAAGAATTTTCCACTATAGCTTGAAGATATATCCTTTATAAAAAATATTGGGCCGGTTTAGGGTACCCTGCATAAATTGATATACTAAGATATCAAAATATATAATTTCAAATAGTTGAAATAGCTTGGTGTGAATCGAGATAAATTGTTGGTTTGATGATTTGTTCGACGCTTGTTGGGTTGATCAAGTCAAAGTAATCTGCCCGAATAGTCTTACCAAATTGATGAAAGTCGGATTGCTATTTAGCCTCTATAAAATTCAATGTACGTTATATTTTGATCATGTTTAAGGTTTAGTCTCTTGATAGGCTCGATCTAGTAATGCACAATCTTACATACAACTCTAGTTTTAAGCCATTGATATTTAAAAACTTCAATAAAAAATGGCAACATAATTCAATAGACTTGATTTAAATTAGTTGATAAATTTAATATTAATAAGAAGCTTAACTAAAACATTTAAATATTTATTTGATATTTTTGTCCTGGACATAATTTTTATAATGCGTAATATAAGGAAAAATTGTTGGAATAACATAGAATAAGTCACCAAAAAGCCAGATGAGACATTCGATACTTCTACCAATTTCGTTATTCTCAACATCATATATTTGCTGCACATACATCAGACCCCATATATATATATATATATATATATATATATATATATATTCTTGAAAAAATGGATTAATATTATTATAAAATGTATGGCAGGGAGCAGCTCAGCAAAACTTAGTCCTTTTATTTGGATGCAACCATTTGCATTTTATTAACAGAAAACAGAGGGAAAACCATGCTCCATACCTTCGCTTTCTTCTTCTTCCTTTTCACCCTAAAACAAAAAATCTCTCCTGTGGCGGCCGACTTCCTTTTCAACGCCTTCCACACCGCCGAACTCATCCTCAATGGCGCCGCCGCGGTCCAGTCTACCGGCATCCTCCGCCTGACTAACAATACCAACCAAGAATTTAGTCACGCATTCTACCCCACACCTTTCTCCTTCCTCAACACCTCCTCCGGTGAACCCTCCTCCTTCTCCACCTCCTTCGTCTTCGTTATCATCCCTCGCTACATAGAAATCAGCTCCGAAGGTCTCGCCTTTGTCATCTCCCCTACCCCAACTCTGGCCGACACCCTCCCCAGCCAGTTCCTCGGCCTTTTCAACCTCACCAGTGATGGCCAAGCCACCAACCACATCGTCGCCGTCGAGCTCGATACCGTTCAGAACAAAGAGTTTGACGACGTCAACGACAACCACGTCGGCATTGATTTAAATGGCTTAACTTCCGTAGTCGCCGCTCCGGCTGCATACGCCAACGGTTCTTCCTCCTTTCAAAATTTGAGCTTGTTTAGCGGCCAGCCGATGCGAGTTTGGGCAGAGTATGATGCGAAGAAGATGGAGTTTAATGTGACCTTAGCTCCGCTTAACACCCCGAAGCCGGCTTTACCTCTTCTGTCTTCTATTATCAATCTCTCCTCAGTTTTTCTAAGCGAAATGTATGTTGGGTTCTCTTCTTCCACCGGCACGACCGCAGGTTCGCATTACATTCTCGGATGGAGCTTCTGTTTAAACTGCAGAGAAAGAGAGCTCGTGCCTTCTGATCTCCCGTCTCTTTTGCCACTTTCACAAACGAAGAAAAGAAATAGAACGATCGCCTATTGGCTTCCGGTAGCCGTCGTCGTGTTTCTCATAATAATTTTAAGTGTTCCTTTTCTAGTGTTCAGGCGAAGGAGGCAGCTTGCAGAGTCGGCGGAGGATTGGGAGATGGAATACGGCCCGAAGAGATTCTCATACGGAGATCTGCACAGAGCGACGAGAGGGTTCAGCGATGAGAACTTTTTAGGAAGCGGGGGATTTGGCGAAGTATACAGAGGCGTGCTCGCCAAATCAAAGCAAGCAATTGCAGTGAAAAGAATCTCCCATGATTCGAAACAGGGGATGAAAGAATTCATCGCAGAGATTTCAAGCATCGGCCGGCTCCGCCACCGGAACTTAGTTCAGCTCATCGGATACACACGTCGGCGAGGGAAACTCATGCTTGTCTACGATTTCATGCCCAACGGCAGCCTCGATAATTACCTTTTCAACCGAGTAGACCAATCTCTGACATGGAAGCAAAGATTTCACATCATCAAAGGCATCGCGGCAGGGCTGCTTTATCTGCACGAGGGATGGGAACAGGTGGTGCTTCACAGAGACATTAAAGCGAGCAATGTCCTCCTCGACGCAGGTTTCAACGGAAAGCTTGGAGATTTCGGGCTCGCGAGGCTACACGACCGCGGGAGCATGGCGGAGACGACGCGTGTATTTGGAACGCTGGGTTATCTTGCGCCGGAGATTTCGAGAACAGGAAAGTCAACGACGAGCTCTGATGTTTTTGCTTTCGGGGCGTTTCTGCTGGAAGTCGCTTGTGGGAAGAAACCAGTAGAATTTAAGACGAGCGGAGTGGATCTGGTGCTTGTGGATTGGGTGCTGGAGTTGATGGAGAGGGGAGAGTTGATTGAAGCGAGGGATAGGAGGTTGGGGAATGAGTTTGTGGTGGAAGAGATGGAGATAGTATTGAGGTTGGGATTGTTGTGTTCTTCGCCGGTGGCCGAGGTGCGGCCGAGTATGAGACAAGTGGTGCAGTGTCTGGAAGGGCAAGTGAGTGTTCCGGCGTTGACGGAGGAGCATTTGTTCATGTTTCATTCGGGTTCTATAAAGAAGAGGCTGGTGGGGGATGTGAGCCTTTCCGGCTCCGGCGGCCGAGCTCTGGCTGCGATGGGAAGCTCGGGTCAGGATCAATGTGCCGGCTTGCCACTGTCGTTTGGCAGATGAGCCAATTGGTGCGGTGTCTGTATTATATTGAATGGGAATTTATTTATTTGATGATGTATACCATTTTTTACATTATTTTTAGCCGATTAGTGTTTCAAAACTATCACTGATAAAAAAAATTAATTAATTTAGAGCATGATTGGGATTAATGCACTTTATTAAAAAATTACTGAGTCGATGATGGCATTTGTAATTCGTTCTTTCAAAACTCTAGCATCTCTACTGCGCATTTCCCATACTCGGTGTAAGTCTTAGGCAAATCATATTTAACCTGTGATAAAGGTTATTCTATACGATATTCATATGTTTTAACAAGGATATGTGAATGATCTTCATCAGTCTTATTGAAGTTAATGTCGCAGTGCGAATGATGCTATCGAATCATCATCTACACACACCACCAAAAACACGACCACCATGACACTGAAGAACCTTGCCCAACGTCTACACACTACCAAGAACACCAAAAGTACCATGAAAACCAAGATCACCACTAACAACACAACCCCCAACATCAGCACACACCACTAATTGCACCACCGCCAGCACCAACACTCGTTACCATGACGCAATATCACCACCAACAACACACAATATTGTGGTACAAAAAAATATCACCCACACCACTACTATAAACATTACCACCAACATAGCATATCCTTCCTCCAACAAAGAGGGCAAACCACCAACGAGACCAACTACGAGTTGAGTAGCAAGGCTATTCCAATTGAACCAACAAAATGAAAAAAAGATTGCATAAAGGGCACCCAAAAAAAATGTTATTACAAATCACACCCTCTTTCATCCATCTTTCAAATTCTCACTCAAATATCGAAGGTCATGACAAAGCCCATGAAAATATTTTTCATTTTTATCAAATTCACGGCCGATGATCGTGGCACACGTAAATGAATCAAATTCATAGTTCAAAAAATCATATATGGAAATTAATTTGTAAATAACAATGTTTCCTTTGCTCTGTATGCAATTATCCTAAAATGAAATAGAAGGGAGAGGCCAACTGAGCAAACCACCCCAATTGTCCCCCAAAAAAAAATGGAATTGATTTGTAAACAACACAACTGTATGTAATTATCCCAAAAAAATTATTCAGAGCAGAGGCCGTAAAATAGCAAGAAGACCGCACGGGCCACAAAAGAAAACCAAAACCGCAAAAAACCAAACCATGGATAATAAGGAGCAAGACACAAATGGCTAAACCTCAAACTATACGCAAATGTCAACGCCAACTGTATAGGTAAGAGATTACCAATGTGAGAATGCCACTGGAACCGAATATTCAAAAAGAATGTAGGAAGGTAGGAGAAGAGAAATGCTACTGAAACCCGAACACATTTGGGATGAGAGGAGGAGGAGCTAGGGTAGAACCAAGCACGGGGTAGAAGCGTGATAGGGAGGAGAGGAGAGAAGCTAGGGCAGAGGTTTGAACAACGAAAGTATTACACGAACGAAACTTGGTGCAGGGTCAAGAGCAATTAAGCTAATACCACGCGAATTAAATCCGGGTTGTGAAATCGAACCCACAGCCCGCAGTTTACTCTAATAATTCAAAACAATCACAACTTTTTTTTTTCCAAATGTCAGCTTCTAACTCACCACGCCGCTGCTAATAAGATGCCCCAAACCTGGCCTCAATCGAGTAAAAGAGCGTTGTTTATTTTATTTTTTATTTTTTTATTTTTTATAGAGATTTACATAAGTGTCTTCCAATTCTTATGTATATATATAATACTTAAATTTTAATCTTTATATAACTATGATAATTTTTATGTATGAAATGGTGTATTTTATTTTAGCTAAAAAAAAAAAATATTTTTTGTGATATAAAAAATTGCAAAATAGTAGGTAGTTTGTTTTTATCGTAATACTTATTTTACAAAACAGGATATCATTAAAAATTTTGCGGAGTATAGTTTTATCGAACCATTTGTTACTTATTTGTTATCAATTTTTGCATAAATTTGGACGCATAATGTTAATAGCATCATTTAAAATGCCCCAGAAAGCGAGAAATATTAAAATTTAGTTGTTTATCCTTGAAAATCTGTGATCAGAAAAAAATTTTAAGACCGACTAAATTTAAATTGACATTGAAGAAAACGTCAAAGTTGAGAGGCCAAAGCCGGAGCTGCATTTCATACAAAAATCGCAGCAATAATGTAATTTAATTTTTCTAGATAAAGTCTAAAAAGAAAAAACAGTTGCTATCTAGTTTTATCTTCCATAGACTTTGAGAAACAAATGCCCGATTTAGTTGTATTTGGCGTAAGATTAGTTGTCAAACTTAAGGCTTCAAAAGTAGAAGATGAGCAATTGGCCGTACTTTGATTTGTAACACCAAATCCTACCAAGTCATCAACATAAATTAGATGTGGCATGCAGAGATCTCCATGCCCTCAGTATGTTAGATTGATTCTTGTAATTCATATCGATTAACCTAAAGAAAGCTTCCATGATAAATATGAAAAGTTATGTAGTTAAAGCACGCCCGTCTTAATCCTGGGGATAAAAAGTAGCCTCTAAGTTCAGTATTAATAATGGCCCAAAAAAAAAAAGAAAAGGAACACTTGATAAGTATAAGCTTTAATCCAATTTATGAACATAATAGCAAAGCTTTAATCCCAAGTTAGATTTACATTATCAAATGCCTTTTTAAGATCAATCTTAGCACATAATTTCCTTCGGCTAAAGAAGAATTTAAACTCACAAAAAATCTCATTTGGAAGGATGATATTACACACAAATGAAAGCAACTGGAACTGGATGAAAGAGAGATGGAAGCAAAGGCTTTATTCTACTTGTAATTAGCTATGAAATGATCTAATAAAATGTACTACTGAGTGAAATAGCTCTAGAGTTATTTAGAGACTTTAGGTGTAATTGTTTCTGTAATTGTTGAATGCTGCTTGGAAGATTAGAAGTACAGAAGAAATGTTTCACGGCTACAATAAAAGAGAAACCAATAATAGAACAAGTATTCTTCAAAAACTTTGAATTAAAACCATCAGGGCCGAGAGCTTTATCTAACCCCTATACTGAAAAGAGCATTTTTAATCTAACATTTAATGAAATCAATAAATCATGACATTCTTGAGAATTAAGTGCGCAGTACATAGGAATATAAGTCTGCAGTACACACGAATATAAGGAGATGAAGATGCTGGTTAATCAATATTAGGGAAGAAAAGTAATAAATAGCTTCCATGCCAATAGCATCTTGAGAGCAAACAATATATTTATCTGTAGATATTTCTTTAATTCGGTTTTGGTTCCCTCTACATCTGATTCTTTGATATAAAAATTTAATATCATCATTTCATTTAGATGGCCAATTACATTTAGCACATTATTTAAACCATGAATTCTATCATTTTGATAGTGTAATCAAACTATTTTGGATTGTAATAGCTTCGCTCTGAAGGTTTTTACAAATAGACTGGGTTTCCAAATGTTGAAATTTCTCAATTGCTTATTCTTTAAGAGCTGAAAAGAAATTTTTTATGTAGTTGGACTTCCATGGATCTTTTCTTTAGTGCCAAATTGACATTTGTCATTTTGTTACATAAAGTGGAAAAGAGATCCCTTATAACAGAAATATTCCAGAGTTGTAGGGAGGAGGATTACTAGTCGCAACTACAGCCAGAAGATCATTCAATGTTCTTGAATCTAAAGTGGTTCTGCTAATTTCAATATTAACAATTGAAACATTCAGAGCTGAGAGATTATATAAAGGGAATTTGTAGGTAAGAAGAAAAGTGATGTTATTGGTTTTACTAAGGCTTCTTGAGGAAGAACCTATTATGTGTCGACTGCACCTTCCACCATGAAGGATAGGGTTTATTGATGGATGTTTGTAGTGACGAGATCTGGGCAAGATAAGGGATCATGTGCAAAACCATTACATGACAAACAAAAAGAAGGCTTAGGCTTCCACTCATATATAACAGGTTGTTGAAAATCCTTGCTTTCAACAGGCATGGTAACATATTCGCACAATAGAGATGTAGTAGAGATTTGAACACAAACTCCAGTAAATGTCAACCAATAATATTTGGTCTTAAGAGAATCTAAATTTAATGGAATACCAGTTTTACAAGCTATCAGTAAATCTCAACCAATAATATTTGGTCTTAAGAGAATCTAAATTTAATGGAATACCAATTTTATAACCTAGAGATTCTAGTCTCTATCCAAAAAAAAAAGAGGCAAGTTAAAAAATTTAACCAAAATCAGAGTATCCATGAAGTCATCCATAATAAGCTTGAAATCTAGTGACCATTTTTAAAAAATAGAAGGAAGTTCAATGGTAAACCAAGGACCACTAATGAAAACCATATCGAAACCCTCCATACATATGAACTTAAATAGAAAGAAATGATCAAATAAGGAGACCAGTTTAATATTATCTTGCGACTTCCAGATTTTAGAAATAGCTTGAAATAAATTATTATAGAATGAAAAATTACCAAGAGCATAACCAAACAAAGCTAGATTCCACTGTTTTGCATATGCTTTGGCATCTTGGTCAGAGAGGACCACCTTATCATCCTCGTTGTGAATAAATGACAGGTTGATGCAAGTAAATCTAACGCTTTAAAAAATCACAAAAACAAAAAATTTTCTCAATTAGTAGCTTCTATTCCAATTTTAAAAAAATTTAAATAAAAGTGATTCCCATTTTAATTTGATGAAGTTTTAATATGATTTAAGGCCAGAAGATTTTCAAAATATTTTTTTAAAAGTATACTAATACAGATTCCTCCATCATAATGAGTGGGTTAGTAACATTAATGATATTATGTTACAAGGGTGAGGTGATTTTTTTGACAACTTCATTCTGAAATTCATTTGGGGCAGTAATTGGTCACTACAAATTTTGAGTTGAGATTAGATGTTTTGAAGAAGAAAATTTCACGTTCTTTGAATTTCGATCAACTAAAATTCTCTATAAATCTAATTTGTAATTAATGATAAATTTAATCTAATGTATATCAGTGATGATGTATTAGCTCACTTTGTTCTAAACTTGGCATCCAACTAGGCTCCTATTGTGCACGTCAAAACTAGTTTCAATTATAGCATTCTATCAAATAAAGTGATAATTGAGTAAAATGCCAGAATGTGAGCTAAGACAGAAATTTCAATGACAATCCAAACCATTGCAGATTTGTGGAAGCACCTCTTGATAAAAATGTAAGGACCAACATGCTTCGGAGGTTAATAATAAAATAAAATAAATTACTTCTAGTCTCTCACTAGCATGCTCATATATTTTGAATGAGATATTTTTTTTTTAATTTCGTGAGAGACCTGTATCACCCTCCAAAAGATTTCGAACAAGCACATTAGCAGTCCAATTCCATGATGATGTTGTCCCTAACGGTTCATTTAAGCCAGATGGTTATAGTTACAACAAAATAGATGGTCAATTTAGCGATTGCAGGAGTGATAGTAAAGGTTCCTTAGAAAAAAAATCACACTTAAAATATGCACAGCCTAACTATCTCAGGCCATGATTTGATCGAGTAATGCACATTTAGAAATCTAATTTTAGCAAATCAAGTGATGTTTATAAAAGACTGCAATGAGTATTGTTAGAAAACACAAGAATGAATGAAAATTATAAATTCAATGGTCCTATAGAAAACACACCATCAATTTTTGAAGATTACTATCCAGACGAGGCAGCGCATGTCAGGTTCATATGTTATTTTATCTTGTCTAGCATTCGTCAACAATATGATCTAAAACCCAAAGAGATTAGAGGTCGGGTTGAAACTAGTTTTAATGAAAAGTTGTAAAACATAAAAGCCTAGGATACAAGAAAAAAGGAGATCAGGGGAATCTCTCACTCTCACTTCGTTGCTCTCTCTTTTTCTCTCTCTTTTCTTCTACACCAAGATACACCGAAGAAGATAAACTTATAAGAGAAATAAACCCAATTTTTCTTCTGCCACAAGCCACCAAGAAGAAACCTAGAGAGAACAATATTTTTCTTCTTCCTTCTGCCGCAAGAAACTACCGCTTGCACTTATCTTCCTCTGCCCCGAAGAAACCTTCCTCCATCCCGAGAAAATCGAAGAACTCAAACCGTGACTTTTAAACCCAAGGAGAGTCATCTGAAGTTTTTATCACGAAGAAGAGGGAGCGAACAGATGCTTCACTTCACAAAAGAGGAAGACGAGAGTGGTTATTTGTGAAGAGGCGTGACTCTCCAAAGCAAAGTAACTGCCCAAGTATAGTGGGTCAGGCTCCACCATTTCTAACGCAAACCTGGTCCGAAGTTGCAGAAAAAATTTTCCGTGGATTCCTAAGCAGCACTTTTCGAGGCAACTTCGCGAAAATTTTAAGAAGATGTTGATAAGAATACACTAATATTAATAACTGAAGCAAGTAATTTGAGTTTGGTTAATATGTCATTGTGGGCCATGGTAGTCAATGTGTACTAAGTAGCAAATAAGTAGCTAAAGTGTCATAGTGTGTGATTTTTAGTTTATATAAACTTCAATTAAAGAGAATCGTGTAAAATCAAACGAAAGAATGAAGACAACTTTCTCTGTGATTCTATTGTTCCCTCTAAAAGTAAAGGGGGTTTTTATACATATAATGGGAAAGGAGATGTCAAAGACAGTAGATAAGATTCAATTAATAAGGTACATACAAATAAAATTGTATCTTCTCAAAAAAAGTAGGGATATTCATAGGAAACATCAAATTATGAAGCGGTTGTGCAAATTTCAATATTAACAGCTGAAACATTCAAATCCGATGGATCATTCCGATGGATCATGAGGAGTTTTTTAGGTAGGAAGAAAAATGATGTTTTTCGTGATGTGGGAACACGGTGATAACCAATGCAAGTCTAGATAATTAGCTTAGCATCTACAAATATGAAGCGCAAAGCACACAGAGCAATAGTCCATGCTCTTACCCGCATGATCGTTAGGAAAAAAAAAAGAGACTAAATAGGGGTGGAGAAAGTCGCAAATCTCAGGCATTTACAAAAGCAAGAAAATTCAACACAGAAATAAACCTGAAATGTAGGCATCTAATTACAGATAGTTTATAGAAGTGTCAATAGAACAATGTTAATTCAACCAGCAGCAATTCAAACCAGGAGTATTTCAAGAAAAAAATAAAACATCACATCTGAGATAAATGCGCCTCAAAATCAAGTTCGTAAAGAGGCAATTGTAGACAAGTCATAACAAAGAAAGAATCACGAGAGAGCTAAAATTATAAAACCATACCTCTATAAATAATCAAAATAAACCAGCAAAAAATATTTATTGCTTCTGTTTTTCTCCAGTTCTAATATTGTCATTGGGCGAAACATAAGTCTTAGAAACAACTGAAGCAAACTTGCTTCTGCCCGACCAATCAACGGGCGCATAAGATTGAAAAGAATCAAAACCGTTAAATAATTGGCCGCCTTGGCGATTATTAACGGGAACCAATCCATGAGCGTGGTGATGCGGAATGCTGTAAACCTGCATAGGGATCATTGCCGGCACGACATATGGCATCGGGTGCTGCATCGGCTGTTCTTGAAAGCTCTGCGGAGGCACTGGTGTCGACGCAAAGAGATGATCGGAGGTAGAGGGTCCTTCATCGGAGAGTCCCTGCATTCTCTTCACGTATAGCCTGTACTTCTGCAGGTGGCTGGCGACGTTCTCCCTAGTGAGACCATCCACGTTCATCAGCTGCATAATGGTTTTGGGCACGGCGTTCTTGATCCCAAGGTGAGCGACCACGTCCACGAATCTCTTGTGGAGCTGCGGCGTCCACACCAGCCGCGGCCGCTTTAGCATTCTGCCAGAGTTGTCATCAGCGGAGTTCTCCGCATGGAGGGAGGACGAATCGGCCTCAATTTCTGCCATCGTTGCCACCTCAGAAGCTCCCGCTCCGTCGTCAGGGCATAGGGTTGGCTTCTGTGAGTCAGAGGGTTCCTTGGGATCGGCTGCGGACAAGGGCTTGAGAGGGGAAACAATCTGAGAGGACTTGGCGAGATGCTGTTGGCGGCGCAGATTGGATGCAGTGTGCTGCGTAGCGCGGTGGATATCGAGCATAGTTTTGAGCTCCGGAGGGGTGATGCAGAAGGCGGAGGCTAGCAACGGCGAGACCAGCGGCTGCGACAGGGGAATAAGATCGTCGCCGCTCGGCAACCCTTCCACCCACTGCAGAACTTCAACGTCGTCTCCTTGCATTCCTCCCCCACCACCATCGCCGTCGTCGTCGTAAACGGGCGGCAAGCGGTCCAAATCTCTTTCGCCGAAATCCTCGTCGATCGCCGGAAGATCTCGATCCATCCAATTGGAGCGCGTAACCGGATTTGCTTCTAAAGATTAAATTCCACTGCAATTCGATCAGATTGGAGGAGCTTTATGGCTCCGAATCTCGGATGGCAGCAAAGATGAGCGGTAATTACCTTATATTATTAAAATAAGGCAACAAGATATTTTAGCAGTGGAAAGAAAAGCCAAAAAGATCAGACGGTCTCCCCGTCCAAATTGCCACGTGGATATTCTGGATTCGTCTGACCTTTTAACTTATAATAAAGGGCAGAAGGTAAAGGCGGCACGGAATATGCAACGTACGATCGGATGACATCCACGTCTGCATATCGGACGGCAAGAAGAGTTCTGCGGATTGTCAATATTAAATAAAATAAACAAATTCGGCTCTCGTGGGCTAAACCCAGCCCGATTGGCTTTCTTAGCGAAATAATAAAAAATAAATTACATTTATAATAGGCGATTCCTATTGGACAGAATGCATGTTCGCTGTTGGGTTGATCAGCGAAGGGGTGGCTTGTATTTTATTTTGGCGGCAGGCAACTAGTCGAATATATTTGACAGAGGGCCCACATCCCCCATAATCGTAGGGGACCGCACTACTATTAAAGTTCATAAACAACAAAGATAGATATTGCAGATACCGAAAGGCCGTTCGATATCTTATTTTATATAGGATTTATATAAATTTAAGCTTGAGGGCCTTGTTGGCTGCCAAATTGGCCGCAAACATATTATTTTCTTATTCAGTTATTAATTTTACTTAGTTTATTATTAAATTTTTATGAAATATGATTAAATTAAGTAAATTATAGTTAGAATGAATGTGCCAGCTCCAATCACAAGAAGATCTAACAGTTTGAAAGATGGAAGCACAATAAAAAACACCTACCAATAGAAGATCAAGAGGCTCAATGTACTCAATTTTTGAACCAAGGATAAAGGTTTGAAGAGTCTAAAGAAAGATTAGAAGGATCCACATATAAACCAATTGAACTAGAACAAGATAGGTAAGAATTTATGCTAAGCATCATTGGAAAGTTAGGTGAAGGCATCGGCCAACCTCCCAATATCCAACCGAGGTAAAAATCTAGTTCCTCGTCATCTTTCATCCCATGAACTCCCCCAAGGTTCCGCATCAGAGACAAAAAATGGGTCATGCAATGAAACTTCACAATCATCTCAAAGGACTCTCACATCGATGATTGAGTTATCTATAAGATTACGATGATTCACCATAGGCCCTATAGCCTTGTCTCGTTCTGTCGACAAGAGCTCTCGGTCCAGGGATTATGAGTCAATACCCAAATTTGATTCAATCAATTAACAAAGTTTAGTATATTGAGTCAATTTTGTCAACCCAAAGCTAAATAAGTCTAGTCGACCGACTGCACCAACTCTGTCTAGCGAATAAAACCAGTGTTACAATGTCGAAGTCAGGCTTTCTCAAATGACCGAGTCATAGGATAATTGAACAATCGGCTCATACATGATAATAAAAAATATGTTTTACTATTCATTAGTATTCATTTCTCTCTGTGTCTCTACCTCGCTCTTCCTTTTTTATGTTCTATTCATTAGGGTGTGATTCACGGGCAAATCAAAATTCAGCACATCTGATGATAAATTAATTGCTACTCAATGAAATTAATTAAAAATTAACTTCAAATAAATTAAATTAAATTAAAAATGGGTTTGAGGTAATAATATGATAAGTAATACGCACTTCATCAATTATTAAATTAAATAAAAATAAAAATAAAAATAATTTGAATTAATCAAATTAAACACAAATAGGATGCAGGCGAAATTCCCGTTCTCTTTCCCATTCATAGTCATAGAAGCAAATGCCCGGTCTTTCTTGCCCTCGCCGCTCCTGTTTTTTCTCTCTGATACGGCGACAGCGTGGACAAGCAAAATTTACAGCTCCCCTGCCGCAGAACTAGCACCATAAATCCCGTAAATAGCTAAGTTCCGTGATTCAGTAAATCCAAATTTTATGGCAGATCAGACACCATTGCATTTAAATCTATCATTTTTTTTTACTTTAAAATGCACCTAATTACTGCTCAAAATCTACTACAATATTGTTTTTTGTCTACGTTGCTTTTAGAACGCCACCACGGCCTTGTATGAAAAGCTGTTCAAATTAATTTTGTGCGAAACTAAAGTCTTATTTGCCATCATTTTTCGTTTTTATTTTTTATTTTTTAAAATAACAATATAATAATAAAAATATAAAAAAATAATATTTATTTTTTTTGTTGCTTTTTAACTTTATTTTTAAAATGCATTTCCAAAACATCAAAAACACATTATCTTTTAACAGTTTCAAAACATGTTTTCGGACTCATGCCCTAAAATCTGCACGCTCTTCTAGCTACACATTTCACCTTCCACTTCTCATCCGGCCGCTTCTTCCTCCTCCAATTAGCAATCTCCCATGATAGCTCTCGATCTTCTAGCACAGATTACTCACCCGAGTATATAATTTTCTTTTTTTAAAATAAAAAATAGTCAATCAAATACATCTTATACTGTTTATTTTTAAAAACATATAAATTATAACAGTAACAAATATATTTTCTTAAAAAAAAAAAGTAAAAAAAAACAAAATATAATAAAAAAATAGAAAAATAAAAACAGAAATAAACCCAAACAGAAAATTTGCATCCAGCTTTAAAAATATGATCACTACAAAATAATCGCTCACTTAATAGAACATAATATTATATTTATAATTCTTGCCGTAATTTTTAAAATCTTATTTCCCAATCAAAACTCTCAAGCCAATTTTACAAAAAACTTTAAAAAAAAATCATCAGCTACTAAAACCTAAAGCATTCCAAAAGGACCTTAAGACTGATATTTACAAGATTCAATATTTTCCAAAAATATTTTTCTTCACATAAATTTTAAATTTTAAAATATTGTCAAATAATTATCAAAAATTTGATTAGATATAATAATTATCATATCAAATGATTTTCAGATTCTAATCAACAAGTTTTACTAAATCCAACTTGATTTAGACCCCAAATCCAACCAAGCCGCCCATAAGGAGTTTAAGAGAATCCAAGTCTCCGCCCATAAAGAGTTTAAGAGAATCCAATAGACTTGGATTCATATATTCTGTTAATCGAGTTTAAATTATAATGGGATATTGGCATCAGAAAAAAAAGCCAAGTAAAATAAAATTGAACGAAAATAGAAACGCGAATGTAACATTTCAATTAGCTAGGCATTCCTACCCTTCCACCATCTATTGATTGTTTAATAGTCCAGGACAAGTGCATGATAAAATTCAGTAAATAGCAAAGAACACAGACCTCCGCTATGCTGAAGGCCCAGGGCCCAGTAGCAACGGACTCTCGCTCTTTTTCTCTGCTCCCGCCGGAACCGGAGGCCGGGTGGGGTTATTTGCGGCCCATGCACGCAGCGGCGGATTCCCCAGCCACATCAGGTGGGGGCTGTGGGTTCTCCTCTTCAGCAAGAACCACAAGACCCTTCTCCCGAAGTGAAGATGGCTCCTTATAGAATGCACTCCATAGAGAGTCCAGCAGTTGCCTCTCCTCCCTCGCAGCGCCCAGCTCCTCTTCTTCCATATAACTGATTCCGTCCATGCGCTTTTGGAGGATCTGCTTTAGCTTATCTTCCTTGTCAAAAGAACTGGAACCTTTTAAGGCTGGGTTCTGAGCCAGCTCCAGGAGAGCGCCAAGTGCAGCCTCCCGCACGCCGGCATTGTCACTTGAGGCCAGGTGCACCATGAGCCTTGGAAGACCAAGCTCCATAGCAGTGGTGCAGTCCGACGTGCTTTCTTGAAGAAGATATTGGATCAGGTTGAGAGCCTTCCTGCGGGAATTCAAATATTGGCAGTGCAATTAGTTTTTCTTACAAATGCATTGAACAAAGTAACGGGCCTAACACTTGCCTCTGAAACCTGGCATCATCTGATCTCAGGGCATCTCTAAGTGCCGCATAACCATTAGCCAATTTAAATGCATTCATTCCAGTTTTGTTGTTTCGAATCAAGGCTGAAATTTTCAGGCAGAACACTCATCACAGTTACACCTCAAATGGGTGTACCACAAAATAATTCGACATTTACTTCTACATACGTACAAGATATTGCTCCGAGAGCCTTAGAGCGAGCTGTTACATCAGAATCGGAAGAAAGATTACAGAGCAGAGGATCCAATCCGCTTGCATCCATTACCAGTTGTTGGCTCTTGGGATTGTTCTGTACGATGGTAGTTACAACATCCGCAGCTTTAGCTCGGATGCTGGCATTGGAGTTCCTCAGATATCCGAGTAGAGGAAGTAGACCACCAATTGAGTGCAAATCGCAAATCTGATGTATTTATATTATTAAAAAAAAAAAAAAGTATTAGTAAAGGTAAGCAATTTTAAAATTATCGAGACGGCATCCAAACCAATGAAATGCGGGTTTAACAAGCATCACTCAAAAATGAGTTCTGCTGCTAAAATAAGAAAAGCATTTTTGTCAATATAACCAGTGGAAATGAAAAATGCTACTGCCAACCTTGGTGGCCAAATTTAAAATGAAGATGCACATCGCATATGGCTGTAAATTTGACTCGATGGTCAAGTGGCATGGCACAGAAAAGGGGGTATTTGAAATATAACTTCTAAAAATTTTAGAGCGAATAAAACAAATAGTTCATTAGAGCAAATAAAACAAATATTTCATCAGCGTGCATAACTGAACCAATTTACAATAAATTAAACGCTTGAGAGTAACGAGAACATTCATAAAGGCGGTGTTTGACTACAGTTCCGATTTGCATTAAATAGGATTTATGTAATATGATAAATCTGGATTAGCCAAACTACCAGAGGAGCTCGCGCAAAGACGGAATAAATGTGTATGGTGATTGGATTTACTAAATCTGGATTTACGTCGAGCAGGTGACAGAATGGGAGAAAAATAGCAATTAAACATGATGAAATTCGATTTAACTACTCATTGGATTTACTTTTCCTTTTTTCAGTGTTTGACTGGATTTAAGTTAAATTCACGGCTTATCAAGTGTACAATATATTTCATAATTCAAGAGACAAAGACATTAGGAAACAAGCGGATTACAACAAATGACATAATTTAATGATGTCATTTAGCAGCAAATCACTCAAACGGAGAGCTCTGGCTGCAGAAGCTATTTAGTAGTTCTATTTTGCATCAAAAATCACACGGACAAAAAGCACATGTCACATCCTTGCTAGCATGAGGTCATTTAGAGAGTGATTATAAATGTCCAATTGATACAACATTAACGCATTGTGAGTTTGGATTAATTTTGAATGTATCACCCTCAACAAAGTAGCATAGAACATGGATGAATTTTGCTCTTTACTTTAGATAATAATTTTCTTGAACATTTTAAATTTACATTTAAAACTTAAAAGCTTTATTTTTAAAATGATTTCGATTGAGATTTTCTATTAACGCAGCCATCATCAGAATATTCAAATAATTTACTATTATTTAGACCTTATTAACTTTGCATGATCGCTTGCAGAAGATGAAATATGGCTAGATATAAACGTAATTTTGTAAACTATAAATCTTATGAGTGAGGATTAGCCTGCTACGCCTAAGATATGCACTTTTTAATAAGTTTAGATTGGATTTTCAAAAATAGATTTTAGCAAAATTAATTATGTGTGTGTGGATATATATATATATATATATATATCAATTATATTAAACAGAAAGGGGTACATATAGGTTGTATAAGTAAACCCAAATAGGCACCCAACTCATACGGTACAACAGACAAAAAAAGAAAATAAGAAAATTAAAAACCCAAAAGTAGATTGTACATAAAAGATCAACACGGTCGACCCATTTTAGTTATGTCTCTGCCCTAGTTCTCAGAAAAGAACCAGCTAACAGATTGGTGAGGGTGTACCATTGCCCGAAGTAACCAGAGTATCATCCATTAGATTCCTTAGCTCAAGTAGATCTTCATTCTTTTTCTTCCTCCTGGAAGTGTAAACCTGCCATTCCTCGTCTTAAGATTGTTGCTCATTCGGATGAGGTGATAGTGTTGCAATAGAAACAGTTGGGCCAATAAGTGTAGGTGAGGTAAGAGTTTTCGCCTCTACCCCTGATATTTCCTGAAGATTGGTAGCTGCAAGGTTCTCCTGATTATCAGTCCGTGTAGGTAAGGGTCCAATACAGTTTGAAAGTGTAGGGTGCTCAGCAGGGTCATCCAACTTCTAATTGATGCAGAAACAATATTTTCAGGGGGAGAGTCCACAGGGGCAATAGAATCAGACATAAAATCCTGTCCTGTCGTAGTTTTCTCTCCAGGTGGTAGTTTTCTCTCCAGGTGGAACCCAGGTGGAACAGATATATTCTTAGATCCATCATTATTCACTTGATCTTTAGATTTTAAATTAGGATGAAGCTTATGACAGTTATCAGTGGTATGCCCAAATATCTCACAATGAAAACAATAAGGAGGTCTATGCTCAATGAATTTTTTGTTGCCCATATCCATTACGTGTTGTACCCAACCAGACTTCAATAACATCAGACAAAGTAATATCTCTTTCCACAAGTATTATGACTACTTAAGGTATGGTAAGGTTGAAAGTGGGTAGATCTAGCTTCATAGGATCTCAAGTATGGCACCAATAGAGTAAAGAACCTGATGATAAAAAAAGTGCAGCTTGAGACCAGGTAGACTGAACCATACCGGTGCAGTAGGAGGTTCATGATTAGGGTCAAAACCAGGAAACCACTTGAGTAGCTTCATTGGTTTACCAGGAATGTTAAGATATTTTTTGGAAAAAATTCGAGTGTGGTCCTCAGGCATGGTTAACTGAATCAATATATGTCTCTCATCCATGAGCCCCACTTTCTATTTTCCTGCTAATTTGAGGTCATCAAAATTTTTCCTGATAACTTCCATAGATGGGTGTCCCTATTGAAATTTTCCAATAAGAACAAACTTGAATTCGTCAGTCAGCGTTGAAATTTCTGATTCAGAGAAAAAAAAGTGTTGTTTTTTCACTTTTCCTACTTTCATTTTTAATAAAAGAGCAATCACTTGTATCACGATGTTTCTTATAACTTGAATACGTCGCAAGCCGTGGTCTGTTGGTAGGCAAGGTTCATTGTAAGTCCCCTCAGGTCACGGATTTGATCCCCAGTGGTGTTGGGTTCTCGAATATTTAGGAACAAGACGCGAACTCTCATCATGGGGCCTAGCGCATGGGAAATCGGTATTTGGGCCTCGGGCAAATATCGATTTCCTTTCACAAATATATTTGTGTGTGTGTGTGTGTGTGTGTGTGTGTGTGTGTGTGTGTAAGTATACAGGCACAAGCACGCGCACACACACATTATAATTTATGCCTAGGGACACATGCGAACAATTTTCATTTTAAGCCTACAATTTTTTGACATTTGTCCACTTCTATGTTTGTAGTGCGCACACACATTATAATATACACCTAGGAACACATGCGAACAATTTTCATTTTAAGCCTTCAATTTTTTGACATTTGTCCACTTCTATGTTTGTAGTGCGGATTCAGTGGTAATTTAGGAGAGTCAGAACTTGAAAATAATATTATTTATTTTGCATTTAGTGCTTAGTTCCTTCAACTAAACCCCCAAATGATTTTTTTTTTTTGGCCTATAAATGAGCAGTCTTAATCACTCTTTATAAATTTTATAATTCAAAAATACTTTTAGCAAATCTGAGCAGTGATAAATCATTTTTGTGCTTGTAAGCAAGCTATCAAGTTCACTACAGATTTCATTTTCCACTCGTTGACAAGCAATTGAGTACCTTATAAGCTCAGTCCTATATTTATTTAATTCAGTTCTAACCAAATCAATTTCTTCAACACGACACATTTTAATTATTAACTCAATATCATTTTTATATTTTAATTTCTCTTCAATTTTACTTGGTTGCGTTTTTAATGTCCATAATATCCTCTTAGTCTGACCTACTTTGTGTCTTATCGGTAAAAATTCCGATAACATCTCGATGTCCCCCGAGCATATGGGGCATTTATTGGTGCTAGGCCCAGATAACAAAATTAAGGCCCAGACAACAAAATTAAAAAGTCCTATATATTCGATATATATAATTATCAAAAACAGCCATGTGTCCATAAGAAACCTTAGTCCACCAAAATTATAGCAAACCCAAGCAGGGAGCCAACTCAAAAGAAAAATTGTAGGACATGCATTTCAACCTTCCTTTAAAATGCACGAAACTCCTCCCAAACTTCAAAACAGTGGACAGAAACCATGACAAAAGCGAGTGTATATATATATATATATATATATATATATATATATATATATATTTCTTGCAGGGTCTTGTTAAGCAAAAAAAATTAAGATAAGCTTCTATATAAAGCATAGAGAAAAATTTATCTAATCATGAAGGTTATACCTAGAAAACAAACCATAAGGTAATGTGAAAAGGAAACTGCTAAACATGTCAGAAAACAAATTAAATAAGATAAAAAAAGACAATGTATCTAAAACACAAGAAAATGGTTCTAGGCTTACCATTGGCCATATCAATTGATTCCACATGTTCTTGCAGTTCTTCAAGCATGCCTGTAAAACGTTTCAAGCCTAGTGATTAAGTATCTAAAATATCAAAAAATGAAAATTTAACCACAGAAATAATAAAATAATTAGAAAGCAGATCATGCGTGTGGAATCGGATTATACATTCAAAATAATTCCAAAGTAAAATTCATTGTCCAAGCAATTCAGGCAAAATTTAAAACAATGATAATGGCTTACATAGACCAAATAAAAGCTTCAAATAAAAGAAGAAAAGCAACCAAAGGTACAGTAAACATGTCATCAACCCAGACCTGATGAAGCGTGCCACCCTGTTTCCCTTTTAGGTACTGCTATTAGGTCTATCATATTTTCCTTTTAATTATATTAAGTATCAACTTATTTGATTGATGCTGGCAGCAATTGTGTACCTTTAATGTCTAATGACGCTTCTACCTTGTGATAGTCGCGTTAAAGGGAATTGTAACTGAGGTTGGGAGCTTCTTGCTGTTCCTTGTTCTACTATCCTTTTTCGCTTCTAATCCATCTTCTTGTTTGCAGTTGAACCATATCAGTATCATAGCAGGATGGGAGACAAGCCAAAAAACCATCCGCAAAGATAATCGTAGTTGGGAATAATTATGCTAAATCTGATCCCATCTAGAGCTACGACTTGATAATCTTACCACTGATTTTAGGAAGGTGGTTTATGAGGTGAGGATGGAGCTACATGCAATTAGGGACAACGTGCCTTGTCCACTGACAAACATAACGACAACACCTACTCTAGGAGAGGTCATTAAATTAACTTGCAACTTGTGGTGACCCTGACGGCAAGATTTAACAAACCATCTCGACAATCCTATATCTGATGAAAAGCATCATCTTCTCTTATGAGAGGTTGTTTCCAATTCCGAACTCAGATGCAGAAATTTCACCATGGGAACCTGATTCTAGGCGGAGCCATTCCAAGGGTTGGAATTGTGGAGAATATAAGGTAAAAGTTGATATACACTTTTTCATGGCCACCTGCACAGAGAAGATTATTTGAAATAGGAACAATCGGTTTAGTATTTCTTCAAATACATGGATATCCCATTGAATGAGAAGGTTAAATATGTAGCTTGCAAATTAAGAGGAGTTGGCGTGTGATAGGTTTCGCTCACCCAATCCCACATGAGAGAAGGCCGGAGTTGTACAAGGAGCTAGCGGAGGGTAATATAGCTGCTGAGACATTCCAACTATGAGCAAACGCTCTATTTGCAATATCAAACATTCTCACAAAATAGCACAATCAACGCCTACATAGAAGTTTTTTCATTTAAGTGCCGCAACAATCTAAATGAAACAGACCAACAACTGGTGGCAAGATATATCGATGGCCTCAAAGAATCTATCTAAGATAAATTAAAAAAATAAGGTATGTTTGGTCACTGTCCCAGGGCATCAGTTTTGCTCATAAGGTCGAACTATGACTTTTCGGACATCGAAGTTTTATTCATGGAGAGGACCTAGCAGTGAACAACCCATTGATCAAGATAAGGGGCCAAACAACATTGCAAAAAAAGCTCCCTTCAAGTCTAAAACCACCACAAACCAGCCGATAGCCCAGGGCAAAGGTGTTGATAAACCAAACTATACTAAAGACAACATCTACCATTAGCCAAGACCGTCCAAATGTTTTCGCTACTTCCAACAAGTACACCACTCAAATTACTACCCCAATCATCACCAAGTCTAATTCATGGAGGGAGAGAAAGGGATAGAGGACCGTGCTTTTGCACTACCTTCAATCGACTATTGTGAAGGCCTTGTGGCTGAGGAAGGTAAGTTCTTGTTGTGCATCTCATAAAAAATTGTATTATCTCCTAAACAAGTATTGTATGTCTCAACAACATTTTTTTTAACACAAGGTACACTGTCATGGTGAATGTTTATGATTTGCTTATTGATGGTGAGAGCAAATAAAATATTATGTCCCAAGAAAAGGTCGAGGCACCACAATTAAAACTACCAAACATCCAAACCCATACAAAATGAGTAGGGTGAAGAGAGGAGTGGAAACAGCAATGACTGGTTCGTACCGACTCTCATTCACTATAGGGAAGCAATATGAGTGTGATGTTTGTGTCGTCATAGGCATGAATGTATGCCCTTAGCAGTACAATGCAGAAGCTTGATATGAGAGCACAAGTAATACTTACAAATTTGAATAGCTAAGGTAAAAATACCCAGTTGCTTTCGAACAAAACGCCTATATTGCAACCTATGGAGCAATCCAAATAGAAGAAAGCAGCTTTTATAACCATCTTAGAATCCCAATTGCTTTTAAAATGTAAAAATTAAAATCTGTATTAATCAAAACCAGCACTATGGAGAATGCTGAAAGTATTAATCAAAACATGCCAAGTAAAGTGACAAAACTGCTATAGCAGTTTAGAGATGTTTCATGTTGTACCCGCTGAACTTCCAAAACAGTTTCTTCTTGTCTGAGCTATCAAACATCAGATCAATCTAATTCTGAGTGCTACCTTACCAATCTTACCATACAAACGAATGAACCCAAAAGAACAGGCCCTATTAAAAGAAATCGTTGATGAATTTTTTAGCATGGATTACATTCGTCCAAGTCTATATTCGTGTGTGGTACCAACATTACTTGTTCTAAAGAAAAATGAAAGTCGTAAAATAGGCGTGAAAAGTAGAGTTATAAATAAAATCACTATGAAGTATTGCTTTCTTATGTAGAGATCCAAGGATCTTCTAGGCCATGGCAGACGCATCTATCTTCTCCAAAGTAGATCTAATAAGCGCGAAACATCAAATTTGTATTCTTCCTGTGGACCGAAAACCTGCTTTTAAAATAAAAAAAGGCTTATATGTATAGTGTGTGATGTCATTCAGACTAAGCAATGCACCTGGAACATTTACGTGGCTCATCAATGAAATACTGAAACATTTTCTTGATCAACTTTCTGTAGTTTACTTTGACAATATTCCAGTTTACAGCACATCACACACCTTGCTACTTCTTGGTCCTATGAGAGTAAAATTGTTCCTTAACAACTCCAAGTGCAAATCTGCTAGTTCAAAGGTGTACTTTTTAGGCTATGTTATTAATAAGTTAGGAGTTTAGACTAACCCGAGGAAGGTATTTCAGAAACTCCGAGCTTTCAAGGTCTTGCAAACTTCTAATAAAGATTCAGAAAAAAAATTGGGCATGCTTATGGAGCCGATTACAGATGCCATCAAACAAAATAACTTTAGGTGAGGACTTGAACAGTGAATGAATGAATTTTAACACCATCAAAGACGAACTATGTGCAACTCCTGGATTGAGTATTCCAAACTTTAAAACACTACTCTAAGTGAACTTTGATGCTTCAGTCATTGTGATTGGTGCAATCTTGTCCCAAGAAGGCAAATCTATCACATTTTTTTGTGTGAAACTAAGTGTCCCTCATATAAAATGTTCTACATATGAACAAAAGTAATATATCGTCATAAGAAACCTTAAATGTTGCGAGCATTACCTCCTTCACAAGGAATTTTGTTCATGGATTATCGATTGTTGTGATTACTATAAAACCTAAAAAACTTTGAACCAATTGCATATGTGGTAGGTCATATTTCTAAAGAAGTTTAGTTTGAGTTAACACATAAATCCAAGCCTCCGAGACAACTAACCAAGTCATTGATGCTTAGAGTAGATGGGTCAGCCTCTTGGTATTTTTACAAACCACCATAACTGGCACAGAGTCAATCAAAGATATATGCACAAATGAGCCGAATTTTGTTGAGCAATGAAGCCGGTGCAAGGCCAATCAACCATCATTCATTACAGTGATAATATTTGTTCAAAGAAAATCAATTATGTTTTATAAACACTTCACTACAAATACAACTAGTCAAAGAGCTTCACGGTGGTAGACTAGCAACTCAGATTGGAAGGGATAACACCTTATCATTTTTGTATTTGCATTTTATTTTTTAGTTTTTTATTTTATTTTGTTTTTATCTTTTATTTTTTTTGCTAAAGCTGAGACAAGATGTGGCGAGGTATATAGGCGATGTCAAACTTTCAAAGTTGCCTCGTAAAATATAAGTTTCTAGAGCCCCTTACCAATTCCACAATCCATTTGGGAATATTTAAGTTTTGATTTTAAATTTGGACTACCTAAAACAAAACACAGAGTTTACTTTGTAATGGACGTGGTAGACTGTTTCTCAAATATCTCACATTTAATTGCAAGCAATAAGCTTTACATAGTTAATGTGACACAAATCTTCTTTAAAGATATCATTCAGTTTCATGGAGCACCTTGAAGCCTAGCCTTCGATCATGAAGTCCTCTTTGTAAGTTGTTTTTTCCATGAGCATCTTAAGCAATCTCAAACAGACCTAAAACTAAATTCAACATATCATATCACCAACAGAACTCTTTCTAACATGATTGAGTGTCTGGTCGGAGAACAAACAAAGAGGTAGGATAGACTGTTAATTTAAGTTAAATTTGCTTATAATTTCATGGTGAACCACGCAATAGGTTGTACACCATTCAGCATTGTCTACATAAAGTTCCCAAACACAATGTCAATTAGGTTGTTCTAATGAAAATGACTAGTAAAGCTGCTAGTCACATGACAACCGCTTCAATACTACATTTCAAAACGTGTGAGCTAGGCTCACAGTTAGTGCATCCGAATATAAATTGCAAGCCAATTAGCGCTATCGATGTAAAGAATTCAATGTAGGAGATTTATAAAATAAACTTAGCATTGCAACCATAAATGTAAGGTAGAGAAAAAGGTTTACATGCACCTGAGTGAACTAGTTCTAAAGATTGATAAGAACTTGGGCTAGGAACAAAATAAAGCTTGTGACTCTTCTTGGCATAGCAGAAAAAGAAAAAGGGACTTGTGGAGGGGACATGTAGAGTAGGGTTGGCATTGGAGGAGGCTACAACCATGGACTGTAAGTGTATGAGGCGCTGATGTTGAGTGGAGTTAATGTTGGAGTTAAGTGTTATGATGGGATAGAAACATTGATAAGCAGCCCCTGGAAGGGTACTTTCTTGATTGTTTGATCCTATATGCAAAAAACCATTAGCATTAAAAGTAATAAGTCAATTGTTGTCCTTAGGGTTGTGAATTTAGCTCAAAAATTGTTAATCGCTCGAAAATTCATTCGATTTTTTGCTCGGATTCAACAAAACGAGCCAAGCTATGAGTCAAATTTTTTAATCAAATTCTTTTCGAGCAGACTCTAGCTCGACTCGAAATTGAGTCGTTAACAACCCCAGTGACGTTAATATTGTGAATCTAACGAATTTAGCTAAAAAATTGTTAATCACTCTAAAATTGATTCAAAATTTGGCTCATATTGAGATTGGATCGAAATAAACGAACAAATCTATAAGACGAAATTCTTTATCGAATTTCTTTCAAATAGATTTTGAGCCGACACTGGCTCTACTAGAAATCAGATCGTTAACAGCCCTAGTTGTCCTTGGCTAGTTTGTGTATTGAGATCAGCTTATGGGAGAGACAACGTGCTGGAGAGAGTGAATTGAGAGTTAGAATAGGAAGAATATCATTGCAGGTGTGTGTGTGATGCCTGTGGATTGCCCATTGTCAACTGTAAATTAAGCTATCCCTATGTAGGGAGTGGAGTTATGTTGAGTATCAAAATGGGGAGTGAGATATGATGAGGAGTCTAAATTCAAGGCCTTGTGTTGCATCGGCTTGGAGATGGTGGAGGTGAGGGAAATATGATTTGGTGCAGAGAGCTGGTTTGTATTATAGGTTGGCTCTACACCAATATTGTGCGGTCAAATGCCACTGTTTAGGACAAACTTGGCTAATGATAGAGGATCAATTTATGTTGTTGGACATGGAATTCGTTTGTTTTGCAGTGGAGTTTCGACTATTGTAGCGAGATTAGAATGAGGATCCACATTTTTTGCTTGTAATAAGAGCTATGGAGGGGTTCTTTTTGCCATTTTGATGGCAGTGTTGATTTCCTCACTATATAGGAGAGAAAAGAAATCATCTATAATGATGGGATTTAATTGTGTGCTAATTGTTGTCTTGAATGCATTGTAAGTTGGTGGGAGTTTGTTTAGGGTATAGATTCTGATATCTTCATTATCGGGCCAAGATCCTGAAGCAGTAATGCAGTCAACTAGTGTTTTTACTCTTGAGAAGTGCTGAGTCATGGTGTTTGTTACTGAGATACGGTAAAGCTAATTCTTGAGCTGGATTACCCTGGATTTGTTGTTGGATTGTAACCTTCATTCCAGTGCTGTCCAGATTGCAACATTGTTTTAGAGGTGCAGGACATAGGAAAGAATAGAGTTAGAGATGATAGAGAAGAGGGAATTAGCAAGATTTTGATCTATAAGGTGCCAAAGAGTGTAAAATCGGTTGATCTCCTGGGAGCCTGAATCGGTGGTGCGAGTTTGGAGCGGGCAGATTATTGTTCCAACAACAACAGACTCAAACCCATTTGTTGAGAAGAGCTTGAGAATTTAGGCTTTCCAAACCTGATGGTTGTCCTTGCAGAGGGACGAGGTTGAGATGGTTTTGATGTGAGATATCAAGAATAAGTGATGCTGGATACAAATTTCTGCCATTTTGATTTATTGGTTTGCTGGCTGATCTGCACTGGAGATGAGGAGCTTGGGCCCATATAGAGTACAAAAGGAAAGAAAAGGCGAGGGATAGGTAAGCTAATATGCTTAAGCTTTGTATATCTCGATTTCATTGCCTTGTTTCTTGTACAGTTTTTTTATTATATAGAGTTTAGTCGGGGTAAATGATAAACTGTTGAATACATTGAATGGTGCGGATGAGGCAGGTTGTTTTACATCCACGGCTCTGGATGGGGAGGGACCGCAAGTCCCATGTGCTGAGAGAGGTGAGGATGTTCTGTGGTTATAACTCGCCTCTCTTTTGTTTACAAATCCTAATGAATTAAGCAAAATCATCGTCTCCCCAAAGTTAAATTACCTTCAATATCCGCAGTAGTGACGCCGTGAGCCTCCAAAACATCCTGCGGAGTCTTCATCACTTCTGTGATCTCCTTCATTCTCTTGATAACATCCACAGAGTTTGCCGTCATGGCTTCCATGAACCACCTCCGTTCCTCATCGCTGCACCACCCCAAGTAACCACAATTAACAGCGATGAAAACATCTAATAAGATTGGACTTAACCTAGGAAGAGGAGCGAAAAAGAAAGAGGGAGAGATGACATACCTAAGAACCCTCTTGGGCTGAGTTCCATCGGCTTGTGAGAGGCTCCATCTGAGCAAACCTTCCCACTTCACACCGTCGCCAGCCATCTCTCCCTCCCTCACTCCAAATCGAAATCAGTAGGTCGATTTATCCCTTGTTGGTCACTTCGCGTCCCCCGCCACGCGTCTGTTGAATCCGTCGGTATACATCCGATTTCCTGAACGACTGCGAAACCAAAACAAGGAAGGCACAGACGCTGGAATCAAGTGGAAATGGATTGAAATCGGGCTTTCTCGATAACTCTCGAAAATGGCGAGAACCGTTCGACGTCGTCAAATAGGTAGAATGAGAGCATTTATTTATTTATTTATTTTGGCTCGGTGATTTGCGTGCCTATTACTGTGGGTGCAAGTGAGTCGAGCGAGCTCGAGTTAGACTCAATAAACAGCCCGTGAATACAACTTGACAAGCTAAAAAGCCAAATTTAAGCCAGCCCTCACTCAACTTCTCACTCAACTTGTAAGTTCGTGAGCCGGCTCGCTTAAAAAAATGTTAATATAAAATATACTTAAAATATATTAAATTTCAATATTTTCTCTCAATGATATTAAAAATATTTAGAAAAATAATATTTTTCATTATATATTGAGTGATTTCTTATTATTTTTCTTCTGGTTATTCATTTTATTTCTTATTTTATTATAAAGTTAGCTTAAGTTAATATTATTTTCTTTATTTTATAATAAATAAGTTGACTCGATCTCGATAAAATTAATCAAGCTCAAGCTTAAGTCATAGGCAGCTCGAGCTCAACTCGACTCATTTACACCCCTACCTATTACCCAATTCTAGGAGTGTAAACGATTGAGACAAGCTCGTTTGCAGCGTTCATGTCGTTCGCGAAGCAGAAGACCGGGCGAGATCATTGGCTATCGAGACAAAACACGATTGGTTCGGCCATATGTACGGACGAAAAAGTTCTCAGGCAATTGGACAAATGAGTCCGCAAACAATCAGTCAGGACAAAAGAGTTTGTAGGCGACCGGGCGAGATCTCGCGACAGAAGGAAAGACTTTCAGTGGCGAAGCTGTTCGACAAAAGATTCAGGAAGCACTTCGACGCAGGCATCGGCTTCACGGGGGATTCTTATGAATAGAGAAAGGATTTGTAAGAAGAGTTTGGGTGAGCAAATCGACAACAGAAGTAGAAGAATTTTCAAAAAAGTTCGCGGCATGAGAGATTTGAGATAGCATTTTTTTTTTTGCAAAATTCGAGGCAGTCAAGTTTGATGGAACTTGTAACTTCGATTTGTGGCAAATAAAGGCAAAAGATTTGTTGGCACAATAAGAAATCTTGGAGGCTTTGCTGGTAACAAAATCAGATGTCATGGAGGATGAAAACTAGGAAGAATTGCAAAAATAAGCAACAGCAACCATACGTTTTATGTATGGCTGATGAGATTATGTATCACATAATAAATCTAAAATCTTCATGAGAGGTATGAAAGAAATTAGAAACTCAGTTCATCTCTAAATCTCTGACGAATAAATTGTATCTGAAGCAAAAGTTGTTTGGGCTGAATATGTAAGAAGGCTCTGATCCGACGCGGCATGTGAACGACTTCAATCAAATAATCACGAAATTTATCATGGCTTGATGTAAGTATTGGGGATGAAGATCGAGCAATGATTATGTTATGCTCATTACCTTCTTCTTATGAACACCTGGTGACTACTCTTACTTGTGAGAAAGAAACAATCAAAGTTGATGAGATTGCTGCAGTTTTGTTGGATCACAACTAGCGGAAACAGAATGCTGGGGAAAACTCTCATGATGATAATTTATATGTCAAGGGTAATCAAGATGGTGGAAGGAATAAAGAGATTGAGAGTTCTGGAATGTAAAATTTCATATCAAAGTCTAAAGGTAAAAAGACGATTCATTGCTACAAGTGCGATGAGTTAGATCATATGAAGAGAGACTATCCAAAGCTCAAGAAGCAAACTAAGGAGAAATGTGATGCATGATTGAAGTCCGTAAATGTGGTGCAGAGTGATTATTCAGATTGCAATAATGGTGATATGCTTTCAGTTTCGTCAACTTAGTTTATGCATGAATTCTTGATTCAGGATACTCTTATCATATAACATTTAACAGAGAGTGGTTTACTTCATACAAGTTAACAAATTTTGGCTCAATCTATTTAGGTGATGATAGATGCTGCAATATTGTTGGTATTGGTGAAGTTACGATTAAGATGTATGATGACACTATTAGAGTATTATGTGATGTTGGACATATTTCATATTTGAAGAATAATTTGATTTCCTTAGGCACCCTACACAGAAATGATTTTATTCCTGATACAAATGAGAATAGGGAAATCATCGGAATTATTAAGGGTGCATTAACTGTTATGAAAGAAAAACTAACAGCAGGGAATATCTACAAACCGTTAGGGAGTACAGTTGTAGGTGAAGTTTATTTTTTTGAATCAAATGATGACAATAAAAAATTGTGGCACATGTGTGTGGGTCATCTTAGTGAACGTGAGATGACAAAATTGCATAAAAGAAATCTGTTGCATTGTGTTAAAAGCTGCAAGCTCAATTGTTATGAGTTTTATGTTCTTGGAAAATAAAATAGAGTATGTTTCATGACTGAAAAACACAAAACTGAATTGATTATTGATTATGTGCATTCTGATGTATGGGGCCCAACCAGGGAATCGTCGTTGATGTATTATGTTACATTTATTGATGATCTCTATAGGAAAGTTTTGGATGTATTTCTTGAAGCAGAAATTTGAAGTCTTTTCCAAATTCAAGCTGTGAAAAACTGAGGTGGAGAACCAAACTAGCAGAAAGATCAAGTATTTGAAATCTGATAATGACACAAAGTGCACATATTCACAGTTTCAAAAGTTCTGTGAGGAGCATAAGATTTAGAGGCATTTTTTAGTGCGTAAGACACCACAGCGAAATTGTGTTGCAGAAAGGATGAACAAGTCGTTAACTGAAAGAGCAAGATGCTTGAGACTGGATGCAAAGCTTCCTAAAAACTTTTGGGCAAAAGTTGTGAATATGACATGTTATCTCATCAATGGATCACTTCGGACATCATTGGGTGACAAATTTTTAGAAGAGGTATGGACAGATAATCCAGATAATTTTGATCACTTACGAAATTTTGGCTATCATGCTTATGTGGATGTGCTTGAAGATGAAAAATCAAAACTTGATGCAAAATTCAAGAAGTGCATCTTTCTGGGCTACAAGAAATGTGTGAAAGGATAAAAGTTCTGGGATCCGATTGCAAAGATGATTGTGATAGTAGAGATACAGTTTTTTATGAGCAGTCCATATTGCAGCATAATCAAGACAAGATGCAAGGGAACAGTTCCAGTTTATATACAGTGTAGATGGATCTAATTCAACATTCAGTAGCAACCAAGACAGTTGAAAGTTCAGAACCAACACCTGATGATTCCAATATAGATGACTTGTAGAATTATAATCTAGCTAGAGATAGACAGAGACACACCAATATAAGGTATCTTAGCAGATTTGGTTATGAAGACTTGGTTTCTTGTTTACCTTCTCATCAGTAGCGATTATCCAACCACTTTTCAAGGAGCTATCACCAGCCATGAGAAAGAGAAATGAATGGGTGCAATGGTTGAGGATATTGAGTCTTTACAAAAAAATCACACATAGGAGCTAGTTCAGCTTCATGAGGGAAAGAAACCTATTGGATGCAAGTGGGTGTACAAAAGGAAACCAATAATATCAGAAAAAAGAGGAAAAGTTCAAGACTTGACTGGTAGGAAATGGATTTGTAAAACAAAAAATAATTTTTGATGAAATATTTTCTCCGGTGTTCATCATTTAAATTATGATACAGCATAAGGGTATAAATTATGATGAAATATTTTCTCCGGTGGTCAGACATACTTCAATCAGGGCAGTGCTTAGATTATTAACTATTTGAGATTTGCATATAAAGCAGATGTATGTTAAAACTACAATATTGCATAGTGATTTGATAGAGCAAATTTACATGGACCAACCAGAAGGGCTCACTCAACCTGGACAGGGGCATCTGATTTGTAGATTAAAGAAATTGTTGTATGGGTTGAAATAATCTCCAAGACAATGGTACAAGTAGTTTATCTCCCACTTAAATCATATTGGCTACAATAGATGTGAGTATGATTGTTGTCTGTGTAAGAGCCTTGAAGATTGTTCTATTATTTTTCTGTTACTGTATGTTGACGATATAATGATTCTTGCAAAGAATATGCATGATGTTCGTGGTTTGAAAGCTTTATTGAGTCAGAAATTTGATATGAAATAATTGGATGCTACAATAAAGATTATTTTAATGAATATTCATCGAGATAAAAACTCAAGAAGATTATATTTATCTCAACGAGGCTATGTTGAGAAAGTGCTAGATATGTTTGAGATGAGCAAAGCAAAGCCTGTGAGCACTCCACAGGCAAACCATTTCAAGTTTTCTTCCTAACAGTGCCTTAAGACAGATACAAAAATCAAAGACATCACAAAAGTTTCATATGTCAGTGTAGTTGGCTACTTGATGTATGCAATGATATGTACTCGCCCTGATTTGGCTCATGATGTTAGTCAATTCTGCAAATACATGTCTAAACCAGGAAGACGACATTGAGAAGCAATCAAATGAATTTTCAGGTATCTGAAGGGTACTGTATGACATATAATTATTTTTTGTAGTAAGTAGAATAATCCTTCGGTTTTGAGGTACGTTGATTCAGACAAAGTAGGTGATTTGGATGTCAGAATGTTTACAACTAATTATGTGTTTACTCTTGGTGGAGGGCCTATATGTTGTAAATCAACAATTCAGTATATTACGACAATATCTACAACTAAAACTCAGTACATTGCAGTAGGTGAAGCTGTTAAAGAAACTTTATGGCTTACTAGGCTAGTAAAAGAACTGGGTGTTGAGTAAGATAGAGTTTAGTTGCATTGTGATAGTCAAAATGTCATTTATCTGGCTAAGAACCCAATGTACCATACGAGAACTAAGCCTATTGATGTCAGGTATCACAAGATCAGAGAGGTATTGTCAGGTATCACAAGATCAGAGAATTGATTACTTATGGTGATATACTATTGCAGAAGGTTCATACTGATGAAAATGCAGTTGATATGTTAACTAAGCCAGTTACTATCAATAAGTTCTTGCATTGTTTGGACTTGTTGAATGTTTGCAGTTGCTAGACAACATGACAATCGAACCCACTTCGATGCATGTGAGAAACTCCAAGGTATTTTTTTCTTCTAAGGGACTCGATATTCACCAAGGTGAAGATTTGTTAGGTATGACTCATATACCATGTAAGGGACAGATCCTGGAGCGGAGCGGAAGAATCTGTTCATTTGGAGAAGTTTTTCGTTATGTGAGTTGGGGGCACGGGGGTAACGTCCCCGCGATACGGTACATGGGTAATTTTGTAATTACATATTATACTATAGAGTTATATATATGCCTTGTTTTATAAACCTAGAAAGAAATTTTGTATTCATTTCTAAAATTGAAAGAAAGCCGCCGCTCTGCTCTTGAGAATGTAGTCATTTTTGTCGAATCTCATTAAATCTCTATATTTTCTTCTGGATTTATGTAGATTCTTATTTTTCTTTACCGTAAATTTCCCAGCATCCTATTTGCGAAAAAATTACAGTCTTTATAATTGTATACTTGTAATGACATAATTTACTGGGCTGGAACGCTTGATTTTTTAATTTTCGAATTTTTGCACATAAAAAATCTAAAGCCCCAACATTAAATCAAATCCAAAACCCAAATCTCACGTGCTTGATCCCGATTTTCACGTCTGAAGCCAATTGACTGGCCAGCATTCTTTCTCCAAACATGAGGATAGCCGTGATTTCTCCCTTTCCTCCGCTCTCAGCTTCTTTCCCACTCCCCTCTCCGGCGAGAAGCGTCTTCTTTCATTCTTCGAGGCCCTCAATTTCTTCGCTTCCCTTATATTCTTCTTCTGCTTCTCGACATGTTCATCAATGGGGGACTGAGCTTCAAGAGTTCTTTAGCAGGCGGCAGCCGGTTCTTGGGAGAGTATCCGGAATTGTTTCTGGCGTCGCTGACGGTGCTCAGGAGATTATTCCGGAGGTTGAGGATGGACCCAGTGGCAGTGTCATCTCTGCCCTTCTACTTGCTGCTTTCATCGGTCTCTCCCTTCTCACAATTGGGGTAATGCTTTCAAGTTTAAGTTAACTGTTAATGGAAATGGTAAAATAAATGCATTGAAATCAGATCCACCTGCTTGATTGAAAAGTAATTGAGCGATTTCTCCTTCTTTTAATTGCTTGTTTGTTTGATGCAAACTTGACTTCTGCAGGGATCTACATGCCCTCTTCTCACAATTTTTTTAAAAAAATGGAAATTTGGTCACCCAAATTAGTAGAGCAAATCTGATTTCAATTGAATTCCTTTCATTTCTTTACTTGGACGGTATTAACAATTCGACAGGTTCTTGCTTTTTGAACAGGTGATCTATTTGGCCGTTCAGGACTTCCTGCAAAAAAGGGAGAGGGAGAAGTTTGAGAAGGAGGAGGCGGAGAAGAAGAAGAAGGATGGGAAGAAGAAGAAGGTCAGGGCAAGAGCTGGGCCAAGAGGGTTTGGTCAGAAGATCGATGAAGAAGACGATGATTAGAGTTTTAGAAGATGTTGTTCGAACCTCAGCACTGCCAAAATATGTACAGGAAACGCCATGGTCGAAGCTTTTTGTTATGAAGAGAGTGGAAATTATTACTTCATTTCTTTTCAGTTAAATTCCACTTTTTGCCATTAAAATCTTAACAATTCAAAGCCTTGAGCTCCAAAATGATGAACACCTTCAATTAACTTTAATGATTAACTAATGTAAAAATTTTTCATTCGGCTTCTAGGCTTTTATAATGATATAACGTTATCGAGACATCTTTCATCACATCACTGTCAGAACAGTAAAAGCTTCATCAAAGAACATTTCCAAAGTAGAGCTGACAGCAACTAATTCTGAAAATTGTATATCAAACAAATATGTGCCAGATCTAACCAAGGAAATTCAGCTCCTCGGCTAAACACCATATGTATATAGGCCTCTCAACATTTCCATCTTTTTACACTCACTCTGAGATATCTCTCTTACTCGAGTCCTTTCAACAATTCCTTACAACATGGAATTCTTAGTAAAATATTGAGGCACTCCATAATTATGTTGTGATTATTTGTATTTGTATGCCGAGTGAATTATCATTTTGTGGATCTTCACGTTAATTTCTTGATGTTCTTCGACTGTTCTAATTATCATTTCATGGATTTCAACGGTTATGGGTCGACCCAAAATCTAATTCGATAATCCAACCTAATATGAGTCGTGGAATAGATTTGGTGCTGAGGTGGATAATTACTTAGGGCTTTGATTGGTGCATAATTAAATTCGCATTGCAGAAAATAGGATTACCGATTAGAAATCAAAAAAAAAAAAAAAAACAAACAAAAACATAATAAAATAGTCAAAGGAAAACACATCGGAATTTATGCAAAAAATCTCGAGATCGAGAAAAAAATCACAGAGCCAGACCACACAAAAAGTTCACTATGAATGAGAGAAAAGTACATATTACATCACTCAAATCTTCTCTTTCAAATCTCTAGCTCTAAATCTTCTCTTGATATCACAAGTGAAATCGCACGCATCAAGAACTGTCTCTCGAACTTCACTACTTCTGTAAAAAGCACTTTGAGATCATTGCGTGCACATATATAATCTCATCGTTCTGAATCGAGGACTAAAATAAATTGTTTTGGCAGCGTAGATAGCTTATAAGAGGCATAATTATTTCACACACTTGGCAAGACAAAGTCAAAGAGTCAAACTTGCCACGTGGTTACGCCGTTGTTCGGTTTAGGTACGCCATTCGACATAGCTACGCCCATTTCAGGCATGTCAACGCCATGCTCAAGTGCAAGAGCACCTCTTTGAAGGCGTTGGAGTTTTCTCCTTCAGACTACAAGCTCCACACGCCAACATCTGTGTCAATCCAATTTGAAAGTTATTTGAGATAATATTCACATCAAGATCAACCCGAACCAAATCCGATCGATTGATGTAGAAGATATTTAAAAATAGAACTTTATATCATAACTCAAGTTGCAACTATTGTGGAAAAAAATAAAATGTAGTTGTATTAAAGCTGAAAAGCTTCTTTCTTTAAATAATACTTATGATTGCTTCAAAGAAAAGTACTTCTTTGAATTATATCATCTTTATCTCATCATCTAATTAATTAATTGATTATGATTCTTGTATCATATTATAATTATTTTATCATTATATCAACCCATATTTTTGCTGTAGCCATTTTTTTTTTACCAAAATACACATCTTTACCACACATCGAATAACAATTTTAACATAAATTAACTAAAATTAATGTTGCACTCTCCATAAAATTCTACACAAAACCATTTGGACCCTATTTTCATGGCTAAACTCATCAAATTAGAAAGAATGCTTACCACTTTTTTTAGGGAAAAATATATTGGTTTACCACATCAAGTGCTTACATAGCATGAATTTTCGTGTAATTTTTTTGTTTTTGGAGTGTAGTATTTCAACTTTACTGAATAGTAGCAAGCTTTACAAAAAACATGCAACACAAAACTATATAGCACAACACACAACATAAAACAATGATGCCTAACCAAGCCTAATAATAGAAAATAGATAATACTAAAAAGTCAACTCCATCTTAAAAATAGACACTTGAATGCCACAAAAAATAGAAATAGTGGATCTTTTGTTATGAGCATTTGTTACTAGGACTCAATTGCTATAACTACCCAATATTTATGATTCCTTCGCGTTTTATCATAGGAATTTCTATTTGCATTACTTTATGTAACTTGTGATTTTTGTCCTTCTAGCGCTTTAATATTTGCATGACTTTCTCTGTAATATTTTATGACATTTTAACATTTTTTTCTCTTTAGGAGAAGGCTAGCAATCTCTTAAGACAGTCGATTCTATTTTCTGGCATTTTAGTTATAGTTGTTGGGTTTTGCAATTAAAAACATGTTATGTTGATTTCTACTTTCTTTCAGTTGGTGTAGTTGGATGGAATTCTATCAAGCATGCTAAAATTTTGGGGATGTCATCCCCTCTCATATCAAATTAAAGTCTTATTCTTCTATTAGATTAACTCTTTTTACTTGTTCTTGTCCTCTTTTTCCTAGCAGTCGGTATAGTTCTCTTATTGAATTTTGTCGAGTTTTGAATAATTTTATTTTTTATAAGGTCAAGAACAAAGTGATAATATCAAAATGTTTTACCTTTTTTTCTGCCAAATTCAAAGTAAATGTTTCCCAGTATAAATAAAGCCAACCTGAACCACTTAATTGCTATATTGTTCTTGTACCGGTGTGCAGATACACTACAGAATCTCATTCATAATGATCTGTTTGGTTTTAGGATGATCACATACTACAATTCTATCTATAGAACTTAATGGTAATGGGAACATAATATTAACCCAGATTTGTAGAGAGTGGTACGTTTAGAGAAGACCTGTTTGACATGGAAACTATATGGACGGGTAGATAATGTACTTACTTGAATTGCATCTGAAGGAGTAAATTTGATATATTTTTAAATAACATGGTTCCCATTTTGATCACGCACGCAATGCATAACATGGAAATCAATTGCTAGTACCATTTTGGTCTGTTGATCCAAGTAAAAAAAATTCTATTACCTGCATCATAGGATGTTACTAAAGAGTGAAAAAATAAAATAAAATGTGGCATAACCCACAACAACAACAACAAAAAAATAAAAATAAAAATAATAAAAAGAAATTTACACTTTTACCTTCAAATTTACATGATATTCACTCATTGTATAACATTTCTAAAGTATCAACCAAAGAAATTTTGCTATTATCTGTATCATTATCTTTTGGGTAATTAATTGTGGAGGCTTAAGCTTATCATATATGAGTACCATTTGGTCATCCAATAATATCAGTTAATTATTAATATCATATTATGCAGCTATTTTTTTGTCATGCTAATTACAAGTCCCTGAAGTTAATTACACATTGATTGAAAACTCTTTGATCAGTTCATAATTATTATAATTATTTGAATATAGATATATATATTTATAAGGAATGACCAAAGGCTATTATACTAGCCTCCAACCACTACTAATCTGCCAACCAACTCGAGTACCACCTCCTTAAGGCACATGTTGCCATAGCGGATTTGAACCCCCAACCTGAGGGGTCTTACACCAAGAATGCCAACCAACAGGTCGGGGTAAGCGGCACACACACACACACCATACATATGATATGCCATCAATAAATTTTCATCATCTAATGCGTATCTCGAGGCGTGACATGCATCTTAAGACAATTTTTAGCAAGTAACGTTCAAACTTCAATTAAAAATCATCTAAAACTATTATTTCAATAATCTTACAGTCAAATTGACCTGTTCGACGAGATGAGCATGATGACACTAACATTGACCAATTCTGAGTCAAATCAAGCGTGTATCAGGTTGTTAAACCATTTTTGAAAGCTTTTGGTGTCTAACTGAAAGGTTAAAACAAATTTCAAATCTGAGAAACTTATATTCAAATTGATCGTCTGATTAGATGAATCCAACGAGCCCTAGATTATTTGATTTCGCACTTTTAAGGCATTCAAATGTTCACAGAATATCGTCTGATTGAGGGAACCTCTTCGGGTCGTTTGATAGTGTGAACTTGATTCCTTTCTTATTTACAGGGAGACCTCTCCCAAACTCTATAAATAGTTACTTACCCTTCATGAAAGGGGACCTAGAACTTGAATTAGAGGAAATCTAGAGCTTGGAGGAGAAGGAATTGAGGTTCATTGTTCTACACTGAATGTCCAGCAAACACCACCCACTCATGCAACTGCCAACGACTATCAAACAGTCCTCGCCGACTGATTTTGACCACCGCCAATTGCTCCATGCTCTTTGCAACCAAACCCAATCCAGAAGTATGACGAGTACTGTGGAGTCCAAACGTACGTTGCGGAGTAACAAAACACCCAACGAAGTAGCACATCATTTTGAATAATGTGCATTAACTCGCCCCAAATATGGTGTATTGATGCTCCCTAAAGACGATGTCACGACACACCCCAAAGACGATGTAAAATGTTCTCTACAATGATTGCTTACAACCACCGTACTTATAATATGGTTAGGGGCAGAACCAACCTCTTTTTTGAGGGTGCAAACTACCCCTATACCCAATGTGAGAAGGTTCAGGGCAACGAAAGACAAAGTGACACTTCAGGAGCGACAAAATTGATAACCCTAATTTTTATGGCCCTAATCCAGAGCTCATGCAACTCTCAACTTTGTCCTCTATGTCCTAAGAACGTTATTACAGCTCCACGCTATAACTTATGTGACCAATTACGGTTTACGTGGCTCATTGCTCATGCAGCTCTCTATTACGGGTTGTGCGGCCTACAGATATTATCGCAACTCACCATTTTGGCTTGCATGACCAACTCTAGTTTTTGCGGTCTATGGACATTGTCGAAACTCTTCACTAAGGCATTTGTGACTAACTATAGTCTACGTGGTCCAAAGCTCATGCAACTCTCAATTCTGAGCTCTATGAGCTATGAATGTTGTTACAGCTCTCTGCTATGGCCTATATGACCAACTAGGAGCTAAGTGGCTCATAGCTAACGAAGCTCCCCACTCCTGCCTCTGTGGCCTATGAATATTATTAAGTTTCATCACTACGACTTACATGACCAACTACTAGAGCTGTAAACGAGCCGAGTTTGAATGAGCTCAGGCTTGGCTGGTGTTCGGCTCATTCGTAATTGCTCGTGTTTGAAATCGGCTCGTGTTCGAAATTGACTCGTGAACAATGTGTTCGTGTTCAACTCAAAATTGACTCGTTAAAGTTAATTAGAAAAAAAAATAGATGTTGAGTGTTGAATTCGAACCTGCACTAACTCTATGCAATAAAAATCGCAGAATCACATGACCACAAGAGCTGTTATAATTTTATATATATATATATATATACTCTATGTAATTTTCTTATTTTAAGCTAAAATGAGTCGAATAAAGGGTTGCTCATGTTCGACCCGTTTACTTAACAACTAGCCGAAAGATGTTCGTGAACAACGTGTTTTTTTTGACTGTTGTACCAACTACGACCTACGGCCCCACAGCTCATGTAGCACTCAAATCTGACCTCTACGGCCTGCAAATGTTTTCGCAGCTCACCAATACGACTTGCATTACTAAGGACGGTCTATGTGGTTCACAACTCATGCAGCTCTCAATTCTGTCTTTATCGCATTAAGATGTTATTACAGCTCTTCGCTACAACCTGTATGACCAAACACGGCCTATGCAGCTCACAACTTATGCAACTCTCTACTCTAGCCTCTACAGCCTACGAATGTTATTACAACTCACCACTAAGACCAACATGGATAACTACGTCCTACGTGACTCACAGCTCACGTAGCTCTCAACTTCGTCTTCAGCGGCCTACAGACGTTATCGCAACTCTCTAGTACGACCTACGTGACATACATGGCCTACACAACTCCCAACTCTGGCATCTGCGGCCTACAAACGTTATCGCAGTTAATCATTGCTACGGTTTATGTGACTAACAACAACATACATTGCTCATAGCTCCTGCAACTCTCTATTATGGATTTTGTGGTCAATCGACATTCCTGAAACAACCATCTACGAGTTTATGACTCACACGACCCACTACTACCAAGACTTTCAACTAAAACCTTTATGTTAAGTTGACGCTGCAGCCACTGTCTACAACATTCATAATGGTTTATTGCCTCCATAACAACTGACTACGGCTTTCACGGCTCTTATTGCTATTATTGTTAAAATACCGTTGTACATCATCTTTATAATTTCATCTTCCCTAACTCAGGAGAAGAGTGCGTATGTATACTCACCATTACCTAGTGAATCATTTAAATTGGGCTAGACCTTATTATTTTTTCCCTTTTCCAGGACTTTCCATATAAAAAGTTGAGAGGTCTCCTTCTATTATTCTTTTATTCTTTGAATGTGTGTTGGATTCTCGTATAACATTGAAATGATAATTCATTACTCTACCGCTGTGAATTCTCTAGCATGCATCAATATTTATTTATATACCATTGATATACCGTAGATGCACTATCTCCATGTAATTCTCATCAAAATCTCTCATG